TCCACGTGAAATAGTTTCTTGCTTGCTGGGTTTGCCACAGAGCGCCCTAAGTCTTCGCTGAAATCTTCGATGCATTCTTTGATGTGGTCCGGGACACTAAGTCGCACGGAACCATCATCGCAGAACTGGACCCCTTGTTTCCAGTCAAAGTACCTCTTTGTGGTCTTTCTCGTATACAACTTCAACATCCAATCGCAAAACGAATTTAGAGCTCGGTCTTCCATCCAACGTGTTACGATAGTTAACGCTGGATCTACTGTTGGCAACTCTGAAGATCTCAGCGTAGGGATGACTTCTTTGTTCCATTTGGAGAAATCCACCTTTGCATCATCGTTCTTAGTGGCCTTAACATCCACTTCTTCCTCCGAGTCCCAATCTTCCGGCCCTTCCAACTCAGCTCGCGTCTCACCGATTTTTTCCGATGCGGATATCCGCTTTTGCTTCAGCTTTTTCGATTCCTTTCTCAAGGAAGTTTCATTCAAGCTTCGCGTAATTTCGGCAATCCCACGCTTTACCGAGACTCCAGTTGGGGGTTCCTTTTCAGCACGTCCGAAGGTGAGTAACTTCTTGGAAATTCGCCCATCCCTATCAGTTACACCGATCCCTGATAGCAGATGGCGTAATCCATGTTCCAGACACCGCCCAGGTCTTAACGACTTCCACAGCCGGTTCATATCTTCCCCTGCCTCTTGAGCTAACTTCACTATTCTCACTGGCGCATCCTTTACCGTCCATTCTTCCACCGTCGTCAGCCTTCGCCTTACCCATCCATTAACCAAGACCGATCTCAATATGAAAAACGGCTTTACTCCTGGCTTTCCATCCAATGGGTACAAGCCTCCCCCATGGTAAGTGTTGGGAGCTATCCGTTGGACTCTTGATTTTCCCATCAACATCGAAACCTTTGGCCCTGATACCTTAGTACCCATATCAACTGTGTCACTGGCCACAGAATAAACCGTGGTGGGAAGAGTCTGCAATGGGGGCGGTTGAATCCACTTTCGATCGATTGAGCTGTAGGCCTGTAAATGCACAGAAGCTGTGGTCAGCCCTCCCAACTCATTATGCGTCATCTTGATCCTCTTAGACCACTTGGACCTCAAAAAGCTACCGTCCATTGTAGACACGATCAAGTTCGCTTGATCCCAGGCTGCCAACCAGCTAGGGGGTTTGTGCTCGCATAGAATAACATTTACTGTGGATAACCGGTTCCGATTAGTCGTCATAACTACTCCCGGCAATTCTGATTTTAACCAAGTAGGAAGCCAGTCTTCCTTCTGCGCCCAAACCCAACTAACTGTCATTCCAAGGGTCTTCACCACCCACGACCATTCTCCGACTCCTCGTACTATCAGGCCAGCCGTGGGACGATCACCCAAGGTCTGCAATGATGGCACCACTCCCGACAATTCCATATCCACCTCCCCTTGATCGTGATCCCTTTCCTCATGCCCTGTACCATCCTCTCAAGCGCCCCTGTCCTTCTTCTTGGCCAGCTTAGCATTGAACGTGGTCATTTCCCTCTGAAACTGAGAAAGCTGCGCCTTCATAGAGTCCAAGTTCTTGGGGGTCAATCTGTGACGAAACAGATGACTCAACGAATATCCAGAGAGCTTTGGATGTCCCGTGAATTTCAAATCAATAAAGGAATTCATTAGCTGATGGCACCGCAGGACAGCCCACATCATTCTTGCTGCATCATCAAGGGTAAGTTGGCCGAGTTTCGATCTCATTGCACCAACACTTCGAACGCGATGAAGCTCCATGAACACACCCTTGATAACTTCACACGGATACACCCAAGCCTCAGCCTCGTCGTCACTCTGCTGCATGCAAATACCTCTTTGGTTAGTGAGAAACGTCGAGATAGCCATCCAGTGTTGCTTGGAGTCGAGCACCAGAGTGGTAAACACTAGCACAGCTTCAGGGTGATGTTTTAACTGAGCTCGGATCCATTCAGTGGTTTGATTCACCTCGTGGTCCACCCCTCTGGTTATCTCATATCGAAGTCCTCGCATTCCATCCTGTTCGTCCCACTTAGCAAATGTACTGATGGCCGGTAACGGGTGATTTCCTTTACCAGCAAGAGGGATTGGGATGGGCCGTTGAATTGACGAGTACAGTTTGGCGGCCATGATGTTATCAAACCCCGCTTTTGTTGCATATTCGTCCCTCCTTAGGACATCTGTGGGCAGGTAACACGTTCTCACATAGAGAAGCCATAGACACCTCAAGTGATTTCTTGACCTCCTGGATCTCTTGCTGGCCTAAGATCAACATTCCGTGATCGGCATCCAGATCTTGGACCTTCGTATTCAACACTTCAACCTTGGTCTCAATGGTTGCCAGACCATGTTCCAGACCGTGATCGCTCAGTTCCGCTGCAGACTGAACATCGAGCACACGTCCAGTGGTGGCCACAAGATCCCAGTAAATACCCATCAATCCATCATAAATGGTGGAGAACCCTGCTGTGTTCTCAAATTCTGCCCCGTGGCCAATTCGTCTTTTGAAAGTATTGCAAACCACGGCCAGAGCATTTACCTTGATGATCATATCAACGGATCTTTTGTCGATCAAGCTGGTGAAGTTGTTGACTTCTTCGATCATCATCTTTTGTTCAAGTAATGCATCTCAAAATACCTCCGCGAATCTATACAAGTCACCCTCAGAGGTCCACAGAATGATCATATCTTTAAGTGATGATGACGTCGGAGTTTTGGAAGAAAAATCAGGAGCGGAGACGTCAGCTCCATGATCACTAACGAATTTGTAAGACGATTCGCTTCCCGTCACGTTCTTCTCTTTTTTTACTGGCGTAAACGAATTTTTCAAGATCGTGTTCTCGTCCATTTCAAACTTAAGTGTTCTGGAGGCCTGTGGAGGCAGGCTTCTGGTCGCACTTGACGTTCTCAACTCGTGAATGCGAGTTGTCCACCCGGCCTTGGTGTCTTTGCCGGTAAGCCAAGGAGCCGTGTTAGCGGAAGGAAGCTCACTGAATTTCACATGTGACATAGAGTCCCAATAGAAAGTCTCCCCTCCTCTTCCCAGCTTTTTGCAGCGGCAGTACAAAGCTGGAAACTGCAATTTATCAATCGGGACTAACGATCTGTGCGAGGCAATATCGCACAAGTTCGTTACTGGGAAAAAAACCAAGCGTGTAATCACGATAATTTCAAATGTACTATTTGAAGCCTGAAACCGATAGACCAGTGCACTTGTCCTCGTGTTGTTGTCTAGTATACTCGAGCACTACTCGGGTAGAAAGAGAATGGCAGTTTCATCCTTCAATTTTCGGCAGTGCTTCCGGCGTGGCTTTAGTAGAGCGGTACCGACTTGACGGGCGCACGCGTGCAATTCCGGAATCTCCAAGTAGTCCCAATATCTTTTGGTTGGCGCCGTTCGTCTGCCCTTCGAGCTGATGCAAGAGATGGCATAATAACAGAGACAAACCAGTTAGATGTTGGGGCGACATTCGATCAAGCTTACTCCATTTAACAACTATAGACCTAAGGGCACACTGAATAGGAATAACATTCAGGTACCAATGTGTGGGGGGTCGATGCTGAATTCATCCGAGTAATCGACCACCATACCTGCAACTTTAATCGTTTAATAGATAAAGCCAGGCAGAGCAAAGTTCCTAATCCATCCGGTCTTGTCTGGCGTCCAAAGACAGGTGGGTGGGTGGGCATCAAAAAACCAAGCGTGTAATCACGATAACTTCAAATGTACTATTTGAAGCCTGAAACCGATAGACCAGTGCACTTGTCCTCGTGTTGTTGTCTAGTATACTCGAGCACTACTCGGGTAGAAAGAGAATGGCAGTTTCATCCTTCAATTTTCGGCAGTGCTTCCGGCGTGGCTTTAGTAGAGCGGTACCGACTTGACGGGCGCACGCGTGCAATTCCGGAATCTCCAAGTAGTCCCAATATCTTTTGGTTGGCGCCGTTCGTCTGCCCTTCAAGCTGATGCAAGAGATGGTTTAGGTTCAGGCATCAGAACTCCTGAAATACGCTTTCCCAATACCGTGGCAAACAGAACAATACAGAAGCGACCGGTTTTTGCCGTGACGTTGCCCTTCCTAAGAGCCCAAACGTACTGTCCCAACCTCGAGTTAATGATGGGAAAGGATTCCCGTTCGAGCTAAGTAGTAGGGTTGGTTGTTGCTTTCCCAAAAGGGAGCTGTTGTCTCAAAAGATCCCGCCATTCAACTTGGATAATACAAAAGGCGACTGTGGCTGGCCAACTAGGATCGCAAAAGATCCAAGGGTATCACTGGAGCCGCAAGTTCTTGAAGATTAAGGCCGTCAAGTCGCAACAATAATCCAGCTGATTGATGTGTGCCCACCACTTGTATCGGAATTGGCTGAATCGGAATCGGAAAAGGGAGGTTTCCTCCTTCAATTTCAAACCGAGACGCTTTGGCCAAGCCCACCAAGCTGATTGTAGAATAAAATAGCTTCAAAATACATTCCATGAGAAATCCAACTGAAAACCCGACCAATCATCATGTCGACTCTCCAATCTACAAACCTCCTCCATGGCTTGCAAAAAACTTCATGAAAAAATTTGGAGGGCGGCTGCGCTCCGTTTGCGATTCTTGCAGCGCCCAAACGTAGCTATATAATCCATATTGAGTTCGTGGAGTAGCTTAGCCACAGTTGGGGCGTCAGGAATCCTACGGCTGTGCTCCGAACCCCTCCATTCCCATGTTGTTGTTGTTAGGAGTTTTGATACGACTGCCGCAAAACACCAGGAAATGACTGGTCTGTCAGTCTCTCGGGCAAAAAAGTCGTAGAAAAAGTTGGAAAAAACGTCAAAAAAGGTGGAAAAACTTAATTTTTGGGAGATGACTAATTCGATTGCACACAAAAGTTGATGTTGCAAAAAGCATGCAACTATCGGAAAAGAATGGAAGTCAAGGGCAATACAAACCGCAACAACATGGAAGAGATAGAATGAACTTAGGCCAGCAGAAATAAAACTGTAAACACTATTTTAAAATTTTGCTATGTTCTTTTCTTTTTCTTTGGTAGAAAGAAACAGTC